TAAGCAACCACTACACACAGAACACTGTATTGGTGGCTGAAAGGACAATATTATAAAATTTAGACTTGAATCTTTTTAAAGGAACACTTTCAAAATTGAGTTTTCATTCTCTTTCCGAGTCATGTATAGACTACTTTCACAACTACATATTGCCTAACAGAAGGTAGAGATTATCCATCTAATTTTTATAAAGTCTAAATTCTTTAACATGATTTACAAGCCTTCATAATTGATCAGATTTCTATCTACCTTTCCAACTTTTTCTCTCATTCCCCCTCTAATGAACCATCCTGAACTTTCTTTAGTTGTAATATGTCATGAATCTCTGTCTCATCACCCCAGCCTTGTGCATGGTTGATTCCTCTACCTGGAACAAGAGTCTGTTTGTTAACTTATTTTTAAAATTTATTTAACAACTATTATGGAACAAATATGTGCTTTTAAAATAGTCATTGAAGCATATTAAACAGTTCCTCAATTCCTGACAGTTCTCTGTATATTAGTAGTAATTCAAATTCACTTTTTGTATGATTTCTAGTTGTAGCAATAGGGGCTGCATTCCCAAGTCCACAGCAAGTAGAGAGAGCCCTCTTCATTACCCTTTGAGAGGAACATAATTGGATCATGTCTCTTTTCCAAAGACCCGATTGTTCAAAGCAAAAATATTTGAAATAGAAAAACTGGGAAATCCAGTTATTGTGCAATTATCAAAAACCAGGATACATCTCTGCTGTGATCAAGGCCCTCAATTCCTTTATTTTATTATCCTTATTATTTTTAATAATTGTTTTTCTTTTTTGATTTTAGAGAGAGAGGAAGGAAGAGGGAGAAAGAGAGAGAAACATCAGTGAGAGAGAACATCTGTTGGCCATCTCCTGCATGCCCCCCACTGGGGATTTGGCCCACAACTTGGGCATGTGCCTTGACTGGGAATCAAACCAGTGATCTCTTGGTGCATGGGTTGATGCTCAACCACTGAGCCACACCAGCCAGGCGATTCCTTCATTTTTTTAGGGCAAAACTAATCTGACCTGCTTTTTTCTTACTTTTCTATTTAACTTGCTATCTGATTTCCTAGTGGTAGGTTTATTGACAAATTTAGCAATATAAATACAAAGAGAGTTACACAGAAATATAATTTCTACTTAAGAGTGTACATATTTTTAAAAACTAGCATAAGATTATCTTCTTGTGTAATAAGAAAGATCCATGAAATAAAACACTGTCAGTTTATGGGTTTATTTTGCCAAAATTTTTTGTTCATCCCTGAAAACATTTTAATTACAGTAAAGTATCTAGGTGTCATATATCTTTACACAGATATTAACTTTTTTTTACTATATGTACAGTAATACATAGGAATAATATTAGCTCCCCTTTCGGAGTAAAGGGGAAGGTTTATTTAAAAATACTTTACAGCCCTGGCTGGTTTGGCTCAGTGGTTGGAGTGTCGGCCTGCAGTCTGGAGAGACCCGGGTTTGGTTCCCACTAAGGGCACGTACCTCGGTTGCAGCTTGTCCCCGGCCCTGGTTGGGTCATGTGGGTGGCAGCCACTCGATGTGTCCCTTTCACGTCGATGTTTCTCTCTCTCTCTCTCCCTCCCACTCTATCTGAACAAAAAATGGAAAAATGTCCTCGGGTGAAGATAAAAAAATAATAATAAATAAATAAATAAATAAAATACTTTACAAATATTGACTACTGTACAAGTACTACTCTACAGAGATGGTGAGATTTTAGTTCTGAATTACTTTTTTTAATTGATAGTCTTTTTGCTTTGGTTAGCAACTGGATTTCAAAATACAGAAGCTCTATGAAAAGCGTAGTCTAACTTTAAAGTTCTGTTTAGGTCTTATAAATTTTAAAATTTAGGCACCTTAAAGAAAGGTTGATACTTTTATTGCATAAATTATTTCTGTATTGTTGAAGGAAAATTTAAAAAGCCACTTAAAAGGAGAAAATAGCTCACGGACAATTTATTTCTTTAGAGATGGGAAAGAGCTCTTAAGGAAATGCATATTTAGAAACCTCATTTTGTTGATGGCCAATTTGCTTCTGATCTCTTTAGTATATGTTTGAAGGAAATGGAGGTCATGGAATTATGCAGTCAGAAAAGTAGTGAGCATTGTTCCTGACTTTGGCACGGCGCACAGACCTCTGCAAGTGGAATCAGAAAGTCTCGAGTCTACCACACACTCTATGTCACTTAAGCCACTTAAGAAAGTCACTTAAGCCCTGGCCGGTTTGGTTCAGTGGTTAGAGCGTCGGCCTGCGGTCCTGAGAGACCCGGGTTCGGTTCCCGCTAAGGGTGCGTACCTCGGTTGCAGTTTGTCCCCGGCCCTGGTCGGTTGTGCGGGTGGCAGCCACTCGATGTGTTCCTTTCGCATCGATGCTTCTCTCTCTCTCTCTGTTTCTCTCTCTCCCTCCCACTCTACCTGAACAAAGAATGGAAAAATGTCCTCGGATGAGGATAAAAAAAAAAAGAAAAAGAAAGTCACTTAAGCCACTTAAGAAAGTCCCTTAACCTCTAAACATCAGCTTTTCATTTGTGAAATGAAGATAATGGTGCCTTTCTTCTAAGTTTGTTATAAGAAATGTGACACAACATACATGAAAAGGCTTTGTAAACTAGAAACTCTACAAAAATAAATTACAATATTTTTCATGAGCTCAAAGATTCCCATAACAGATTTTTTTTTAAAAAAAAGTTTAATTTGTATTTTGTGTTCTTGTTCCCTTTTCAATGCATATGTACTAAATCCTTTATTAGGTTATAAGCTTTTTTAAGGCACAGTGAACATATCGTATCCTCTTTCCACATTGTTCTCTGGATTATATGTGACTAATGGACGCTAAGAAGGTTTTAACAGATACTCTTTTTACTCACCTCCAATAGCAAGCAAGTAGTCTCTACTGTCAAAAGTCTCTTTTCACTTATTCTATATCTAAACCTCCCTATTGTAATCGATGCCTATTTTCACATTTTCTATCCTCTAAAGTCACGGGAAATTGGCAGGTCAGCATTGACTTAACAAAAGCCTTTATCATTGCTACCAAACTCTCTTCAGCTGTAAGACAGAATCCTTGGTTTTCTATCTGAATCCGTCCCTCTTGCCATCCAAAACGAGCAGAATCAACGACATCCTCAGACCCAGGAAAAAAGGAGTACCTTCTGACTCACAACAGATTCCTAGAGCCAAGGAGTTCCAGAGGAAAGTCCATCCCTGTCTGGACAACCGAGGGGAATACAGTACATCAACATAAAATGACTAGAGGGAATATGGACAGAAAGGAAGAGAGGGACAGGGCTGAAGACACCAGAATCAAAGAAAGTGAAAGTACAGTGTTTCCAAGTCTCTGATAGTCCCTCAGAAGGCTGGTGAGATGCTCTGGTCTACCCTGATGCTTAACGAGAAGTCTTCATTTAATAAGTAAGTTGGCATTAGCTCCTAATAAAACACCTTTAAAAACGGAAGGGATGGCTACCTCCAGTCTCCCTCCTTGGATCCCTGGGTTCAAAGTAATCCTGTATTCTTTTCATTCGGTTTTTAATAAGCGGGCCCAGTTCAACGCACCTTTTAGGTTTAAAGAGGAATCTTTTTAGTGTAAGACACCCCTCTCGGCCTCTGCCGATATGAGGTGGGTTTCATAAAGAGCCCTGGAGCGCTCAGCACCCCCCGGGCTCCCGGTAAACGCGTGTGCCCGCAGCCAGCTCCGGCACACCCTGCGTTTCAGCACCGTCGCCTCTGGATAGCGTCCTGTCGGCAGCCAGGTCTGGCCTTCCACGGTCACCCATCCATCCCCAGCCCAATTGTTCTCCCTCTTCTCCTCCTTTCCCTCAGTGCCAGAAAAAAAGCACCCCCAACTTCTAACCTCTCTTCAAGCCTCTTCCACGTCCCTCCCTCAGGGTCTAAACGCGCACGCCCCCGCGCCTTCGGGTCCTACCCGAGCAGCAGCAAAGCTGCGTGGTTTATCCACCCGTGCCCCGAGATCTCCGACAGGATCGATCACCGTTCTCTTGCCCCTACTCATTCCAAACCAGCCGCCGAGAGCCCCCACTCTCTCCAAGCCTAAAGCCTCCAAGAAACAATCGGCGCGACGATGCGATTCCCCCGCCCCAACTCGCGCGCGTGCTCGAATGCGCGCGTGCACACACACACACACACACACACACACACTCATATACACACACTCGCACGCTGCAAGCCTCCCAGGTGCCATCGCCGCCCTGGGCTGAGCCACAGCCAAGTTGGGTCTTGATCCATCAACACCGGCTGGAGAAGGGCCGCCCTCAGCTGCCGCCCCGTCCTCCCAACTCCCCCCTTCCTGGCAACGGGTCCCCGCAGCCAAGCCCAAGCTGGCCAGCCCCCACCCCCACACCATTCATTCAGCCATTCACCTCCCGCAGGCAAAACACAGTGCACCACCCTCAAACATTTCGCCGCTGGGCCGCCCCAACCGTCATCCAAACCCTAAATTGATCTCCTTGAAGCCCCAGCCCTGTTACCGGCGCGTTGTGAGTGTGTGTTTGTGTCTCCGATTCATATACATCTTTTAACTCCTTCGAGCTTTCCTCGCAGCCTAAACAAACAGCACGTTATATCCAACCCCTCTTCCTCCCTTCTCCGCACCCCAACCTCTGCCCCCATCCCGATTCTCATCAGCCAAGTAGCCAAACCACCGCACAGCCGCACCCAAGTTCTCGAACCTCCACCTCTGGTCCAGCCCAAAGCGACACTCACCTTCTCCCCTCCCCCTCCCCCACCTCTTGGCCCCTGGGTCCCCCGCGAGCTGGGTCTGGCCCGAGCAAGTGACGCCTCGAAAGCGCAGTCTGAGTCCCCTCTCGGGAGCCACGGAAAGAGAGGCTGACCTCCGACCGACGGGATCAGCAGCGCACCGCTCCGAAGGGCCACACGCCTCTCCTTTCAGTCCTCTGGAAAACACCGGCGCTGGGGACAGGAGAGGCGGAAGCAGCCTCGAGGGTGGGCGGGAGGACTCACCGAACATCTGAATGTGCCCTTTGGTGATGGGGTTGAAGCTGCCGCAGGCGAGCAGGATAACGTGGGTCTTGGTGGTCTCGGTCATGGTGCCGGCGGGTCTGGTCCAGGGGTTGCTCCTCTTTTTGTGTCTCGGTATCTGCAGAGGGAGAAAGGAAGGCGAGGCTCCGGCGCTGAATGCTGTGGACTCCAAGGAGCCGCTCCAGACGCAAACCGCGTCACTCCCCGCCTCCCCTTAACGCTTGCGTCTCCGGCACAATCCGAGGCTGCTTCTGTACCGCTCTGCCCCAGGCGTCTCTCTTCTTTCCGCCTTCTTTCCCGTCTCTCGCCCTTCCTTTCTCTCGCCCCCACCCCTCTCTCCATCACGCTCTGTTTTTTAGTGTTTATTTACAGTAAGACAAAACGTGGTCCCCAAGTCCAGAACCACGAATACTTACCGTATGGGGTGAGCTTTCCCTTACCTCCTGATTTACTTTTCCTCCCTCATTCTAACATTTTTCTGTCCACACCTACTTTCTCTAACATTCCCAACTCCAAGAGTGTTTGATCTTAAGAACTGTTTTTCCCTCTCTTCCTCCGAATTTTAAGTGAGAAATGACAGTTGTTCATTTCAGGAGTACTTACTTTTGCCTATGTTTTTTGTCTCTTATCTGATGATTTTGAACTATTGAACTGAGCCAAGAAATAGGGGAACCTCAATCCTTCCCCTGGTCCTTTTTGTGGGTTGAAGCAGTGCATTCGGATTGGGAGAACATGGATGGGGCACAATTAGCTAAAGCTGTCTTAGAAAACGACTGTGATCTCACACAAGCTGCCAAAGATGAGACAAAGATTTGCCCATTCAACAAATGTTCCTTGAGTGCTCACTGTTGTGTTAGACTCGGTTATAAATCCTGCTGATGAAGCAAAGTCCCTGTCTTCATAGAGTTTACATTCTACTGAAATGAAATAGACAATACATGAACAGATCAAGAAAGTATTAGATGGCAATCGTGCAAGGCTCAATAAGTGAATGCAATTTACTCTATGAGTGGAGAAAAGGGGTCCACTTTTTTAAAAATATGTTTTATTGATTTTAGAGAGAGAGATTAAAAAAAAACATCCATCTATCTGCTGTCTTCTGCATGTCCCCCACTTGGAATCAAGCCCAAAACCCAGGCATGTGCAACTAGAAATCAAACCAGTGACCTCTCAGTGCAGGGGATGACACTCAGCCAACTGAGCCCCACCATGCAGGTGGAAAGGAGACCCTTAAACCAAGTAGTTAGGGAAAGCCTCTCTAAGGTAACATTTAAACTGAAACCTAAATGACAAGGAGTTGCTAGTACATATATTTTAGGACAGGTAAGGGTTTATTGTGCTCAAAGAAATGGAAGAAGGTACCCTGGCCATTGTGGCTCAGCAGTTGGAGCGTCAGCCCTGGGACCAGAGTCTCAGGTTCGATTCTGGTCAAGGGCACATACCTCAGTTGCAGTTTGGTCCCTAGCCCCAGTCAGGGTTGTGGGGGAGGCAACCAACAATGTGTCTCTCTTACATCTCTCTCTCTCTCCCCCTTCTTCCCTCCCTACCACTCTATCTGAAAATAAATAAAAAAATATCCTCAGGTGAGGATTTTAAAAAAAAAATTAGAAATGAAAGAAGGCCAGAGTGACTATAGTATATGAATAAAGGAGAAAATCCTGAGAGAAGATTGAATTTGTGGTCAGAATCCAATAAAGTAGGGCTTATTGGCTAGCATAGGATTTGGATGTTTTTCTAAGTGTAACAGTTTAGAGAGGAATTGAGTAAGGAAACCATTGGAGACCTTCCACACTGGGGAAGCAGATGCCACCATACTGGGCCCTAAGCTGGAGGAGGACAGGAGCTCCTTTGTTGGGGACCTTGCCCTATGTATCTTTTCATCTGATTGTTGTTTGTATCACTTAATGTCCCTTGTAACAAATGGGTTATCTAGTGGGGGCGCGGGGACTACTAAAGCTTTTAAGCAGAGGAGTTATCAGGAATTTACACTTTTTTTTTTTTATCCTCACCGGAGGACATTTTTCCATTTTTTTGTTCAGATAGAGCGGGAGGGAGAGAGAGGAAGAGAGAGAGAGAGAAACATCGATGTAAAGGGACACATCGAGTGGCTGCCACCTGCACGACCAACCAGGGCCGGGGACAAACTGCAACCGAGGTACGTGCCCTTAGCGGGAACCGAACCCGGGTCTCTCTGTACCGCAGGCCGACGCTCCAACCGCTGAGCCAAACCGGCCAGGGCGGAACTTACACTTTTATAAGACCGTTCTGGCTGCTAAGTGGGAAACAGAAAGACAGGAAAGAATTTTGGAAATTCTGCTGGTAGTCTAAGCAAATGGAGTGGGTGGTCCCGGACTAGGATTTATACAGGTGACTTTGATGAGCAGCAAATGTTCTCAGGATAAATTGTGTAAATAGAGTTTATGGTCTTTGCAGAGAGATTAGATTTGGAGGAAGAGGGTAAGAGGAATCTGGGAAAATGGCTAGAAATTTGGCTTAAAGAAATAAGTAGGCGGAGACTAAGAAAGATGGGAAAGGAAAGTTTGAAGAGTGAGCAAGTGTTCTGTTCTGATATAAGAGACTTAATTTTTTTTTTTCCTACATGGCCTTTTAAAATGTTGAGATATAATTGGCATATAACATTCTATTAGTCTCAGGTGTACATAGTAATTCTGAACATAGAACTGTACAAGTACAAATATTTTGCTTTCCTGGGCTTCAAGGATTCTTGGGTAAATTTTTACCCTATTTAGTGAATTGGTCATTGTTTCTTATTCAAGAACATATAATAGGTGTGCAATAAATATTTATTAAATTATTCTGAGTAGCAAATCAACCCTAATATGTACAAAATTTCTAGTTTAAATACAAGAGTCCTAAGAATTGTTGTATATCGATAATGGAGTTTGTATCTTCCCTGATGTGAAATACAGATTAGTGGGCAGAAAGAGTAAGATGTTGAAGGGAGGCTGATTTGGATATGAAATAATGACACTAGCTGGACAATTAACATAATTATAGTTAAGCAATAAATATTTATTGAGGTCTGCCTTGTGCCAGAAACTTGATTTAGGGGCTTTGCACAAAGCAAAGTCCTGGCTTTAGTAAAGCTCATATTTTAGAGGGGAAAACAAACCATTTAAAAAAATGAATAAACCTAATGGTAATAAATACTATAATGAGAAAGGAAGCAGGGTAAGAAGAAAAGGAAAGGTAAGAGTTCTCCTTTATTTAAGGTGATCAGAATGGCCCCTCTGATAAGAAGGTATTTGAGCAGGGACCTCAAGGGAGTGAAGAAATGTGTCACTTGCTAATTGTATGACCTTGGACAAGTCATTCACTACTAAGACTTTATTTTGTCAACTGGAGATGCTATATTATATGCCCTGTGTACTACGCATACAGGGGTGCAGTATGGATCAACTAAAACCATGTGTAAGTAAATTACTTTTTTAAAAAGCATATCGTCACCCAGCCAGTGTGGTTCAGTAGTTGAGTGTCAACCCATGCACCAAGAGGTCACTGGTTTGATTCCCAGTCAGGGCACATGCCCAGGTTGTGGGCCTGATCCTCAGTGGGGGGCATGCAGGAGGCGGCCAATAGATGTTCTCTCTCATCGATGTTTCTATATCTCTCTCGCTCTCCCTTTCTCTCTCTCTAAAATCAATTTAAAAAAATTTTGTTAATAAACAAATAAAAAGCATATTGTCAGCTTTAGGTCAAACCCCACAGTTGTTACATTCAAAACGTGTACTTTTTGTTTCAGATTTTTTTTTAATTGATGGCTTTGTCAAGGATGTTTCTGGAAGTTCCAATCTTAGAGACTAATGGATTTGGGAATGTGTGAATAGCCAGAAAAACAGTCTAACAATGAATTTATTTTCAGTTAAGATTCCAAGGCTGACTTATAAGATGTAGAAAGAAGAATGTCAACTCTTGCATAATACATGTACCTTATTATATATAGTAAGCTATTCTCAGAGGTGCTTATTTTAACTTAGGTAACATAATTTGGTCCAATATTTCAACTTTCCAACAGCTGGGTAATTTCTTTAGGCTGAAAAGGAACAGAGTCATTCTCTCCTGGCCTACACCTTGCAATGCAGCCAGTTCCGTTTCCCAAGGGCTCAGACAGTCCAACCCAGAACTGTCCCTGCCACGAATGTCAGTTCTAATGTTAGGCTTACGTGTCTGTCAGGTCTGATATGAAATGTGTATATGTAAAGTCTAGCAGCCTGGGTATTTATGCTCACTCATCTCCCTATTTACCTAGTCTGGGTTAATCATCCATTTGTTTCACAAATCAGGGTGAAACCGTTCCACGTTTAAGAGGCTGGGTTCCAAGGTAATAGTAGGGATCATCCTTTTTAGGAAAAGCAAAAAGTCACACGCATAGATGTGCCTCCGTCATTTCCTGAGATCAAGTCAGACATTGAATGTTTTATCTTTTCCTGGAAAAAAATATTACTCTGAGAAATGACCCTGAGAAATCCCATGACTCTTCTGGATTCTCTACAGTCCTCGGTATGTGCACAGTTCTCTCTCTTTTGCTTGGCATTACTCTCCCCACCTTCAAAAGCAAACATTTTTACATCAGTGAAGGGGAAAACACCCCTAGATCAAGATCCTCCTTCCTTTAGCTCTAACCACCCCCCAAATCCTACTCAGATTTCTCGAATTACTCAAATCATGTTTCGCAAATGAAAATATTTCCAAAAGGTAAGCAATTATAAACATGGCAATATTGTTGGTACCACAGTGAAAGGTGAAAAAGGACACAGGTCTTTACAACCAATAAGCACTGTATACCATTATCAATAACCAATTTCTTCAGCTAACTCAGAGGTTTGCTGATATATATTCATCATGGCTTCTTTCAGATATTGGGGGGATGGTAGGTAAAAATCATTCTTTTCCTCTTGCTTCTAAAGAGCTCGCTACTTTTAAACTTTTCCTAAGAGCAGAAATAGGAGATAGCAAAATTGGTTCTATCAGACTTAGAAAGAGTATAATGCCTAAGGAGTCAAAGTATTCCTTGAAATAATATGTAAGGATATCTCTGACTCCCTCCTTTAAGTCACACAAAAATATTTGGCTCAAGGGGAGTCTTTTTTTTAATCCTCACCTGGAGATATATATATATATATATATATATATTTTTTTTTTTTTTTTTTTTTTTTTTTTTATCCTCACCCGAGGACATTTTCCCATTTTTTGTTCAGATAGAGTGGGAGGGAGAGAGAGAGAGAAACATCAACGTGAAAGGGACACATTGAGTGGCTGTCACCCACA